GGGGGGGGGGGGGGTTGTGAGAGGATTTTGATGTTATTGAAGTTAGAATAGACACTTGGTTATACCATAAACAATTAAAAATAAATTGAAATACAATGTCAACATAATATTTTTAAATTTAACGATTACCTTGGTAACATTACATGAAAAAAAACGGTTAAATGAGACTACTCCGGCACATGTATTTGTAACAGGCTGAAGAATAATAATTACTTATTTTGTAAGTCAATCAAAATATCATGCAATTATAGTTGGACTCCGTGATAATGTAGAATAAATGAAACATGCGTCTGGTCTAGAAGTGCGACTATAAAATAATTTTTGTTCTTTTGGGGGGATTGGAGAGGTATACCACTAACAGGCAACGACCACTCTAATAATAATGTAAGTACTTTACGTTTGTTTTCACGTACAGTTCCGATGTGATTAAATGATCATCTGAATTCTATCCATTTATGGTTTGTTTTAATTTATACCAGGTTCAATTAAATTTCTAAATCTATATTGAAACATATATGTCGTAAAATTACTTGGTTTTTTCAGACCAATGTAYCTTATATCCCAAGATCGTAATTATAATATATTACTCCTTGCCAAATCGATATTTATAAATGTAAGTTTATCAAAACGGATATTTATGAGAAAATGTATGGTAAAGTATTTATATATTTCAAGTTTTGTATTAGGTATCTTAATGTTCAAGGTTTTGATCAAAACAAGATTGATTTATAAATTATGTAGATTTGATTTTGTCATTATGTAAGCTCTATAATTATACTCATAGTCCACAAATCATAATAATCCACACCTAACCTGAAACCAAATTTCGAAAAAACAAATTYATTAATATTAAAACTATAAACAGTGACTGAGTTTCATCATTTACCCAACTTGTGGASATTATAGAGTATGCAGATAATATTCCAATCAATGTAAATGAAGGTGCATAACAGGAAGAAAAGATTAATGAAATATTTTTAAAATTAAATTTATYTAAAATTAGTTGTATAACTAAAACATATTTATTTGAAATATTTCGTACTCAATCTCTATGTTTTTTGAGTACTGAAACTTTAAAATTGCATTACCGAGCATTTGAGGAATATTGTGAAATAAATGTGACCCACAGTCGTTATTAACTATAATTGCTTTATATTTTATTTGTTTCAAGTTTTGTGATAAAAAAACATTTAAAAAAATTATCAAGTTTCTTACTGGGCGCTGTAGACTTCAATATAATAAATTACTCACGAATGAACAGGGTKTTTTTTGTTTTCGCTTTAAAATTATCATAGATTAGGTAAGGACGGTAAGGTTAATTGGATGGTATTATAATATGTATTGAAAGCCGTCTGATAGAAATCTCGGAGTATTGTTGGCATCGAGACAATACAAAGTATCTGCGAGTTAAGCTCACTGTCATGATAGGTACACGTTTATCTATTTTGGCGTTGTTTAAAATAAAACAAACTTCAGCCGGTAATACGATATAACGTTATGATACCGAAATCTGTAAAAATCCAGATTAAAAAAAAAATATCRATGTAATAGAGATATAGGTATCTAGAAAAAATAAATACCTGCAGTTTAACCAATTATATTTTGTATAGCACGGTGATTTCGAAGTAAAAAAACACCAGGCAATCGTTTATTCCATTAGTATATTGAATCATATTATACCGATGTGCCTACACTCAAATACGCATAATCTGGMGATTAATGGTGATATACAATATATAAAATGAATTACAAGGTATTCGTTTAAAATTAATAGGAACAATTTTTATACATTTAATGAAAGTGTGACTTAGGAAAAATAACAGAGATTGCTCGTGACTTGGAATATCGATTACTGGTGAAATATAAATAAACTGTTGAATTCTTTAACACGTATAATTGTGTATGATTTTAATAAAATATTAATTTTTTTATTTATTATTTATTGACGGGTTGAGCTTTACACAACAGTTTGAGGCATAATACAATATATTATAATTGAATAATGAATACAAATAACACAATGACTTTATACATATAAGATAATAATTCCAGTAATAATCCAATAATGTTAATTATTATTATTATTATTATTATTATTATTATTATTAATAATAATAATAATAATAATAAATATATAGTAACATCCAATTATAGTTTTATGAGTAATATTTTTTTTGATATAATTTTGAATTTTGTCTAGTTGATAATGCCAATCAGAATATTATTTTTTTAAATAATATTACAAATTGTCTTTAAATATAATATTGTAAGGATTCACTAGAAATATTGATTTTTTTATAATAGATGAAGGTATATAAAAGTACAAAGAGTAGTTAATAACAATATTATAGCCACATTACATAAAAGTACTTTTCAATAATAACTCTATTTTTCGTTTCAGGTGACGTTATCTATATCAATTTTGATTAGTCTCCACGTTTTTTTCTTGCTGGTTGTCGAAATTATACCTCCAACATCGTTAGTTGTTCCATTACTGGGAAAATATTTGATATTTGCTATGATACTGGTTTCAATAAGGTAAGTTTATCATTATTAAACTTAACGAGATATTATGAACATTTTGATTGGAATCAAGATTACATAATTGCTTAGCTATAAAGGAAAATATCTTGAATTAATAATATAAGTTATTTTTGTAGCCGTACAGAAACAGAAATATGTTGAAATAAGCAATAATCAGTATTGTAAATAATGTTATAACAGTTAG